AGAATCAGGCCGATGGCGCACGCGAGATAATGCTCCAGCGTCTTCCAGCGATGCTTTCAACACCCCAACGGGAATCGTTGGAAGCACCCTTGTCCGCTGACGAGCTGCTAGAAGCTTTAAAGGGAATGGAAGACGAGAAGACCCTAGGTGTCGACTCCTCTCCTAAGGAATTTTGGTTACAAAATCGGACTGTCTTCCAAGACAGTCTGGCGGCGTATGTGCAAGTAGTCTGGTTGGAGGGGACCTTTGGAGGTATGGTTAGCCAAGGGATCACTACACTATTGTACAAAAAAAGGGGACAAGATGGATGTTTGAAACTATAGGCCTATCACGCTTCTTCCCCTGCCGTACAAAATGGTCTCCAAGCATTGACTAATCGAGTACTCTCGTATATGTCTCATTTGATCTATCAAGATTAGACTGGATTTATGCCACAAAGAAACATCCAGGACGATGTGTTGCTTGTAAACGAAACAATCAAATACGCTAGGCAACACAAAAAAGGAAGCAGCCGTCCTGTTCATAGACTTTGAGAAAGCCTATGATCATGTCGACTGGGACTTCATGGACGGGTGTCTGCAGAAAAGGAACTTTGGTGACTCCTTCAGGGCGTGGGTGTCCACCATGCACAGATCCGCGGAAACGAACGTCATGGTTAACGGACACTTATCCTCCCCGTTCGCCCTTCAGAGGTCGGTGAGACAAGGTGATCCGATGGCCCCTCTCCTGTTTGTATTGGTGATGGAAGCCTTGACAACAATGATCCGATCCAATTCGGATATAGGACGTATTGACATCCTCGAATTGCCCCGGCACCTAGTAGTTGTGACGTCGCTATTTGCGGACGACCTCACGGTTCTTATCCGAGCCTCCTCGACCTCACTGAAGGCACTTACTAACACAATTCAACTTTTTACAGTGGCGGCAGACATGAGGGTTAATTGGGGGATAAAGACAGAGGGTCGGTGGCTGTCTCCACAAGACACCCAACCCCCGTAAGACCCGCCGGTCAATTGGCGACAGGGGGAGGATGCAATAAGAATCCTGGGTGTTAGATTGACAGCGCTGGGCCCACCATCCAATCATGGTCAAGCCCTGGTCCAAACGGCCTTGCAAAGACTGGCCAAATGGGACAGCCTGCATACATCACTCGTAGGTAGAGCCCTGGCAATAGACAATGCAGTCTTGTCCACCATTTGGTACAAGATAGCTTTTTGGGCGATCTCGGAGAAGCAACTTGCACGCCTACGTGCAGCACTGGTAGCGTACCTCTAGAGGAACGACCATGAGCTCACCTGTTGCATCAAAAGAGTTGCACGGAAATATGTTACGCAACCAAAGAAGGTGGGAGGATTAGGCATCCTAGACCCGGGGGATGAGATCAGAGCACTGATGTTCGAAGTGGTCACGCCTCCTGTTAGCAAATGATCTGTCGTGGCTACAGCTAGCACACATACAACTGGCGCACCTGGCCCCTCCATCCAACCTTGACCATCCGGTTCATCCGCTCAGATGGCTCATCAACACGGACTGGTCTATTCCGAATCCCCCGCGCCATAAGAGGGATGGGTCACACAAAAATAGTGTGAGATGGGACCTAAAAAATGACCCCTTGTGGCCATCAATGCTGGAATTGTGGAGGCTGATGGGGCCAACCAAAAAGTCCTCTCCACTTAGGTGGCAGGAAATATAGCGACAGCCATTGTTTGGGAACCCGTTCGTCCATGACAGTGATGGGAAGCCTTTCTCCCTGACGACGAACTCCCACTGGCTAACCTGGGTGCAAAACGGAATTTACACCCTTGGAGACTTATGGGACTGCCATGTAGGGTCATAGAAGTCGACCCAGCAGCTGCGTCACACCCTAAAACACATCAAGGGGAGCCAACGCAAGCTGCAAGAGTTACAAACGGCTGTCCCACCTCAGTGGCCTTGACTGGGTCATACAGGCTATACCTAACCCGATCCCCATGACTATCTTTAGGGTGTCACAAGTCACACACGAAGGGGTGAAGCTGCACGCTTACAAACCGGACGTGTCGGGGGCGAGGTGAGCCTCCTTAAAAGGAACCGAGCACCAGACCGCACAGTCCCGAATGGAAGGGCCGCAACCCCACCCCGATATGGCAGTATTCGGTCAACGACGGCTACAAGCGGGCTCATGCCCTCCACCCCTCCACCACGGTCGTCAAGAGCAGGTGGAGGAGAGATTCTCCGTTGTCTGAGGAAAACCTGTCACATCCCATGGACTATGTACGCTCACATTATGCCCACCTCTCATAGAGCCCTCCAATGGCAAATAACCCACTGATGCCTCCGGACACGGGACTAGCTAACAACCAGATCAAATTTGTAGCAAAAGGGAGTCCTATCCCCCATCTGTACCCACTGTGGACCTGGCACCCAACCACGAAGGGCGGACCTCGAGCACTGCCTCCTCGACTGTCAAATGGCGAAAAGGGTATGGCAATGCGATGTGGCTGATGTGTTCCACTGGGATATAGCTCTTATCCTACTAGGAAAATGTAAGAATATCCCCTCAGCATGGACACCCTTTCATCGCAGTCTATTCAAACATATGAGGCTGGCGGTCGTCATTTGACGTGAGAGGTGCTCAGCGGAAAGGCAAGAGGCAAGCCTTCGGCCTCCATCAAGCCAAAGCAGAAATAGTAGAAGTCATTCATGCTAATTCGGTAAAAGCCAGCAGAAAACTCATGCAGGTGGTAGTGGCGACCAGGGATGGGCAGAGCAAGAAGAAAGTCGTGGCTGCCTTCCGAGAGCTTTGGCTCGACCCTCAGACGAAAATGGCAGAGGTGAATGAAAATGGGAATTTGACTTGGAAAAACTGGGCTGCTCAGGACGATCAATGGTCGTACCGGAGGGCAGAATGCTTCACTACACTACTGCCGGGCCAGGCACGGAACGCGTTGACAGTGCTCAGTCCGGTCGCTGTCCCGGTTCATCACGCACACAATGGGCTAGCCTCCCAGCCTCCACGGTCGGCGCAATCCCCCCCCATGCCCACACGAATGTTGCCACCCATGCCGTCCGCTTCCCCCCCGGTTAACCCGTCGCCCCCC